GTTGGAAGTGGAGTTGGGAGGGGGAGGGAATGGTTTGACGGGATCCGCGAAGGGGTCGATAGAGTCGACTCGTGGAGGAATCCCCTGCTCACCATGCTCGTGCTCGTTAACACTCGCAGGCATAACAAACGGCGTAACATGCATCCCCTTGACAAACTCCCCACTCTTCCTGGGCGTCTCCAACACCGGCATAGTCTCCACACTCGGGAAAATCCTCCTCGTCGTCAACAACAAAACCGCGTTCACAAACCCATTCAAATTAAACACAAAGTCCGCCGCTACCGTCCATCCAAACGGCACCCTATGTCCTCCAAATGCAGATAGACGGGCTAAAGCGATAGGGAGGACTAGAAGTGTATAAGCGACGGGATACCAGATCATGTGAGAGACTGTTTTGAGCATTGCGCTGTCTACGTCGTCTCTGCATAGACGGAGTTCCCAGGAGAGGGAACGGGAGATGTGGATGATGCGCATTTTACGGCCTTTGCCTATGATGTTGCCTCGCATGCGGAAGAAGACGAGGATGTAGATTAGGAATGAGAGGCCTGCGCTTAGGAACATCTGCACCAGAGTCAGTAAAGGGGAGGAGAGGAGGGCCTCCCTGCGGTCGCCGAAAGGAGGGACGTACGAAGAGATATTCGAGATAACGTTGGGCTTTGGGATAGAGATCTGTGATCCAGCACCAATATCCTGATACACCGAAATAGGGCCCAAGATCTTCTTTCTGAATCGCCACTGGTCCTACGAACACCACGACGCCCACAAGGGACCATACGCCACATAAAACGGCTATCATCTCTTTCCTAGTCGAGCGAAAGCGGAGAAAGAGGAGGTTGAATATATGTCCTGCAATGACAAGATTCCAAAGCGCCGTAGCGACATTCCCCGCATTTTTCCACCCTCCTTGCATATAACATAGCGGGCCATAGGTAACATCTCCAGTTATAATCCATCGAAGGGAGATGGTAGAGCCGACGGATTGGATGAGGTTGGCGATGAGGAGGGAGGAGTAGTAGGGAGTGACGTGGGTGCGTGGGAAGAGCGATTCGCCGGAGAGTTTTTTGTATGATTGGAAGAGGGCGATGGAGAGGACGGAGAGGAGGGAGAGGAGTGCGGAAGCTACCAGAGCTGCGACACTTGATCGTTCGGAGGGAGAGTAGGTCACTTGCAGGGCGGACTGTTCACTCATCGCAGTGACCGGCACTGGAGAACACGGGGAAGAGCGGGCGAGTATAAGAGCGAGTTGAGATCATTGTTGTCAGTGTTGAGCGATAGCCGGAGTTGCTATGCGATCAGAGAATGGTATCTTCAACAATGCACCAAATGAATCTTGGACTACAATTGCTGATCCCGTCACCGACGACGACGAGAGTGATTGATTGATCTCTTGATCGATTGGATGACACGGTGTACGTCGCGGTCCAGCCAGACTAGCCACAGTTATTATCCTGCTCCGAGGCCGAGAGAGAACATGGGGCGGTAGCAGAATATCCATTCCCGGTGGAGCACTCTCCCCATCCGAATTCACGAATACAGGTCCGGTATCCTCGTCCTCGTCGTCTTCCACGTCCGGCAGAGCATACACACAACTCCGAGCATCGCACATCCCCCCTCTTCTCACCAGTCCAATCCGGACAAAAATCGACCGCAAACTCGAATTCTCGACCTCCAGCCTGCATTGCATTACGTAATCCACTCCGCCCCAAAGATTCGTCGCGCTCTCAAAAAAATTCATCGAGCTCGCTGTACGGCGCGACGAGCACGTACGTTTGCTTTGGTGATCGCATAGAGGCGTTGAGAGTATTATTTGGGAATTAAGGAGAGTGGAAGACACGGTCTAGAGCGCGCACAGGGCCGAGTAGAGATCTTTGGGGACCAAGCATTCCGGCAACCCACTCCTTTTCGTTTTACCCCGACCGGTAATATATAGTCCTCCCCAACCTCACCTCCACCACCACACCTCACTCTCTTCCCTTCCACGCTCCTCCCTCCTCCTCCTCCCTCTTCCACGCCCCCGACGCTCACGGACACCGCTCACTGCGTTCGCAATGTCAACAACGACCGACCCCAAAGCATTCGACCCCATCGATCCCCCAATCGACATCAACATTCCCGACAACTACGTCCAACACACTCTCAAATCCACCAAACCCCTTCCCCCCGTCACCCTCTCCAACTTCTGGACAGAGCTAAACTGGCTTAATGTCGCTATACTGGGTATAACGCCCACCATTGCTCTGTACGGGCTGTTCACTACCAAGTTGACTTGGCAAACTGCGTTGTTCTCTGTGCTTTATTATTACATTACCGGTCTCGGTACGTCCCTTCCTTCCTAACGAAGATGATTAAAGCTAAGGAAGGACAGGTATTACCGCCGGATATCATCGACTCTGGGCACACAGATCATACAACGCCTCCCTCCCCCTCCAATACTTCCTCGCCATAGCAGGCGCAGGCGCAGTCGAAGGCTCAATCCACTGGTGGTCCCGAGGCCACCGCGCACACCACCGCTACACCGATACAGACCTAGACCCCTACGGCGCGCACCACGGTCTCCTCTGGTCGCACATCGGCTGGATGATAGTCAATCCAAGACGAAGACCTGGAGTAGCTGATATTAGCGATTTGAGGAAGAATAAAGTTGTGAAATTTCAGCATCGGTGGTATCTTCCACTTATATTGGGTATGGGATTTGGAGTGCCGACTGTTTTGCCGGGGCTGCTTTGGGGGGATTGGAGGGGGGGATTTTTCTTTGCGGGTGCTGCGAGGTTGTGTTTCGTGCACCACGTACGCCTTCCTTCTCTACTCTTGTTATATTTATTAATATTCTCGCAGAGCACATTCTGCGTCAACTCCCTCGCGCACTGGCTAGGCGAAGCCCCCTTCGACGACAAACACACACCCCGAGACCACGTCCTAACAGCACTCGTCACCATCGGCGAAGGATACCACAACTTCCATCATCAATTCCCAATGGATTACCGAAACGCTATAAAATGGTATCAGTACGATCCTACAAAGTGGTTTATCGCTACTTGTCAGAAACTCGGTCTTGCCTCCCACTTGCGCGTAAGCCCTCCCCTTCTCAGTTTTATTAATTGAGGGAAAGAGATTGATGGGTGTGGGTGTAGGTATTCCCGGATAACGAAGTCCGAAAAGGACAACTCACAATGCAACTCAAAAAACTTCGCGCCCAACAAGATATCCTCGAATGGCCTACAGACTCCAACGAATTACCCGTCGTATCATGGGAATCCTTCCAAGAACAAGCACAATCCCGTCCTTTGGTTCTGATAAGTGGATATATCCATGACGTGTCGAGGTTTATGGATGAACATCCTGGAGGACGTCATTTGTTGGCTAAGAATATTGGGAGGGATGCGACTACTGCTTTCTTTGGAGGGGTTTATGATCATTCGAACGCTGCACACAATGTACGTCTCCCTCTCTCTTTTTATTTCATAGATACTGATGGTGGTGTGTGGTAGTTGCTTGCGATGATGCGTGTGGGTGTGTTGCACGGCGGCTTCCAACTAGCCGAAGATCCCGAGAAATACGAACGCTCCATCCCTCCATCGCAAAAACTTCGTGTATATCGAGCGACGGAGATGACTAGTCCTTGGTCTTCGGCTTTGAGCGATGGGGAGTCTCATCATGGGCTTGCTGGTTAACTTTGAGCTGCCAAGGTTAACGCATTGGCGTTGAGCTTACTTCCCTTGCCGACTGGATTACTACTGGCTGGTTGGGGTTTGCATTATTTTGTGATTCAAATTATTGATTGACACGCTTCTCAATTTCTTTTCTCTTCCAATTTTTCTGCTTCTGATAATGAAATGCATTGTGATGATGGTGACGGTGATGACGAGTGGATGAGGACAAGGAGAGTTAGTAGAGAAGTAGTACTGCATGTAGTAGCTCTGAGCTGGTTAAAGAGCAATATAGATGCTTGATCCCAACTTCCAACTCCTCCTCGTGCTCTTCTCGACCGATCACATCCACACTCCAGTTAACAAAAAAAAAAAAGTAAGCTGAACCAGCGAACACTGGAAGAAAAAAAAGGTTCCTTTTTTTTGTCTCGCGGTGCAAGGACCTCTGATAGTGCCGATGACACCCTGATCCGGAATTTCCGATTTTGGGTGCTTTTTACCCTCACAGAAAATCGCGATTTTGGGGCCCAAAATACCCGAAAATCGGATCTGGTTCGCCGGCATGGCCAATTTTACCCGTTTGGCGGATCAGGGTGCCCAAAAATTGCGAAATTTTACCCGCAAACGTCGAAATTTCTCAAAAATCGCCGGAAAGGCTCAAAAACGGGTGTCTGGCCTTGTCAAAGTATTTCTTACGTGGTGGAAGGCTAAATACATCATGTAGAATTCAAATTTTCGTTATCGACGACAACACGATATGTATTTCTTGTAAGCAGATGAACTGCCATACCCGGAACATCAGCATCTGCGCATGAGTTTCACTTTGGTCAGTTGTGATCTTTGAAGAGCTTTTGGCGTTTCTGCTTTAGCTACAGAGACCGCATTTTCAATAGGGGCAAATCGATATTATGTGGTAATAAACTCACACCGGTAGCAGCTGATGCGACCGCTTGGGCTGCGTTCAGGACATTGCCATCTTCAACAACACCCAAAGCCGGAGCGGTCTTCTTGTATAGCAGATCCCAAGACAGCGGTAACCGGCACTGTGATGGCTCTGCGGCAGTCGGCTATAACTGCAGTGAAAATATGTATTTATGATATATTTATATTGTCCACCTCGAGAGCAAATTGTGCCCCATTTTACCCTATATTGGATGCGGGTTCGCCGACAGCCCTACGGTCTATACCCTACCGAAAAATCTGGGTTTGCGCAAAATTTTGGCCTCCATACCCGACAAAAATCTGGGTTCGGTCCGCCCTTCGGGCGGATTTTACCCTACAGCGGATCTGGGATATCCCACCACTGTCAGGGGTCCTGCGGTGCATAGGACACCAACTCCCATAAAAAGAAAATGGACGTTGTGAGGATTGAACTCACGGCTTCATGCAGTCTTCGGCTTCGAGAAGCCAATGCAAAGCAGGCACTCTACCACTGAGTTAAACGCCCGATAATAAAGATCCCAGACAAAGCGTATATAAGCTGAGCATGGGCTTTTTCAAATGATGTTCTCGGCAGCATTGTTCGATCAAGCTTTCGATTCTAATTTTCAACTTCAAACTCATGCAACTTCGTTCACTCAAGTTCTCGCACTAGCATCATAATCATCAATTCGCACAATACTACTAGTATTCAATCCGCGGCATCCTTTACTGACGTCCGCCCTTCCTCGCGAGGACTGGCCCGGCTCAAAAGGGTATCGCCTCTAAGGTCCACCTCGAACCAAAATACATCCACTATCATCTATCATCTATCACCTATATATACTACGAGAACCGTGAATCCGCGATGCAAATGAGACGCGTGTTGAAGACCCCGTTAAAACCTCCCCCGTCGGAAAACCCAGTGGGAAAAATACCAGGGGGAGGAAAGGGAGTCAAGCGTCGTTCGAATTTTGAATTCGAATTTTGGGTTTTGAGTTTGGGGATGGGGATGGGAAGGAGAATGAGAACCTGGGGGTCATCCGCTCGACTCTCGGGTGGCGAGTCCGAGAGCGAGAGGATTAGGCCCAGTTGTTGGGGGATCTTGATCCGACAATTCAGAACGAATCCGTAATCTAATCATAATTCATCAGCTCGACGTCACAAGATGAAAAGAGAAGAGAAGAAGAAAACGTACCAATCCCCCGTACTCGCGAACGGGTCCAAAAGGCCTATCCATTCCTCAGATGGCGAGTCCTCAGAACGAATAACCTTCTCCTCCCTGGAGTTCTCCTCGGGTCGACCTGAAAACGAAGATAGGTGAATACCAGGAGAACATAACTATCTACTCCCGCCCCTGGTCACAAAAAAGAAAACCGCACTAAAAGGCGAAGCACCAAACTCCATCCACCTCCCTGACCAAAAGAGGTTTCCGAAAGCCCAGATGAAGAGTACACTCCTTCCGCTATCCATCCTCCCATCCTCCTCCAGTTCCCACGCTGGAGCAGAACGAGAATAGGATAACATCAAGAGACGTACCACGAACAATGGCTCAAATGAGCCGAAAGTGAAACCGGAAACGAGATTTTTTTGGATTTTGTGACCGGAGTCTTTTTTAGTTTTTTTGTGTTTTTGTGGGGATTTTGGGGAGAGAGAGAGAGAGAGAAAGTGAAGGGAGAAGATAGGATGGGGGAAGGGAGGGAGGGGACCCTAGCTCGTTTCCGTCCAAGTCTTAGAACCCGGCCGCAGGACTAAGAGAAGGAGTTGGCGAGAGAGGGATGGAGGGGCAGGAGGGGTGAGGAAGCGGAATTACACTTTTTGGGCCTGTATTTATGCTTTTTCGAAGGCCTTTGGGGTGCATGGCCTGTGCACGCTCATCAAGAGGATTTGTGGATTCTTTCACATGTTATGTCTGTGAGCCAATCATAGCAGTTCGCGGAGACGATGTGCGAGTGGAAGCTTCGATTCAAGCAAACAAATCACCGCCACTTGAACGTTGGAGCGCTGGACTCACTGAACCTTCCTGATTTAGCTACACGAGAAGCATTCGGAGCTTCTATCCTTCATTGAAGAACCGTAAATCGACTCATGAAAGTTTCTTGAGAAGCTTCCATCGTCGTGTTCAAGGCTTCTTGTCACGAGTCATTAGGTCGATGAAGAGGATTTTGCAGCTTCTCTGGAATGTGAAATTGGATATTCTGAATTGAAGGAGGCAAAGTATGAACTTCTTTGAGGACTCAATTGAAAGAAGCAAACGCGTACAGTGGAAAGCATCCGGCGCCAACGCCACTCCGGCAGCAAATCCTGCGCTCAACCTCAAAGCGGCAACTCAGTGAGCTTTCCAACGGAATACGATTCTTCTTTTGATTCCTTTCCATTCGGATAGGAAAGCGACTCGGAGTTGAAGTCGAAGTGCTGGTTGAAGGGGATTGCAGAGATGTTGGCCAGCTTTGTTGGATTGTTTGGCCGAGCCAAATAACGCATCGAAGCGCCCAGCAGCTTCCGCGTGATGGCCAGGAAAGGCAAGTCACTGAACGGACTTAGCGGCATAGCAGCCGCTCGCTCTTCTGCTCGCTCATCCACGGTGCCAGCGCCCAATGGATCAGGCCTTGCATATGACGATGTGATTTCAGAACATACCCTACTAATGATACATCCCAATGTCAGTATTAATACAACCCTAAAAGATACAAAGCAAAAATCCGCCAAAGACCCAGATAAAAGGAAGAAGTAGAGAAAATTATGCCGTACAGCACAGACCAAGCCTTAATCCAAGAGCCAACTTTCAGCTCAAAGCGCTAGCCAGACCAGCAACAGCTCCCAAGAGCTTAACACCTTGAACAGCAATCTTCGCACCAGCAAGAATCTTTTGCGTGTTGATAGGTTTATGTTTCGGCGCGGCGTTTTGCTGATTATCTTGCGATTGAGTTGCTTGCTGAGATGTAGTCTGGTTGGGTGGAGCCGGAGGTGATTGAGAATGGGGGTTATCGCCCGCATGAGACGGTGGCAATTGGGAGGGCGCGACGGGCTCAGATGATTGCGAGAGATCGGGTAGAAGTGGACCACTTTGAGAACTCTGGGTGAAGGTTTGAGTTCCCTGCGCGCTTGCAGCGGCAACGCCTCCAGTATCGTGATGCCAGCTGGTGCTGGGATGGCCGTGCCACGAGTTACTCTGATAAGCGCCGACCGAAGCATAACTTAAATCGACGTTATTGAACGTATTCTGAGATAAACCTGTAAAGAGAAAGCGACGCGCTGTAATGAGATGTTATGGTAGCGTAGTTCATCCTTCTTACCGAAACCGTCGCCATTCTGTCCAGGAGAGACAATGTTTTGATTTCCATAAGAACCGAACGATGAGTCGGGGGATGCCAAGCTGTAAGAATTAGATCCCGGTGGATCATACATCCCAGTGCCTTCGCTTCCGACGCCACCCATACCAGACAAGAGACTGGTATCATAACTGGCGTTACCCCCGTCAAAGCCGGCATCTTCACTTTCCACGCTCGCAGAGTCGTCGAAAACATCTTCGGCGATGATATCGACGGTGGCACCTGTCACCATCGCAGCGCCGTGCTTTCTGAAGCGGCCGAATCCGGTGTGTTTCTTGTGCCCTTTGCGCTGTACTTCTACGGGAGGCAGTAAAGATGGCGGTGGAGGAGGAGCGTAGAATTCGGGGGAGGTTGCATTTTGCCAGTGATGACGCTGCTGTTCATGGTGAGACGACGGGGAAGGCGGGACTTGGAACGTGTTGGAGGGCGTCGACTTGAAGCGCATGTCAGATCTTGGAAATGTCATACTGATTCAAAGAATCGACTCACCGGAATCGAATGGGAATGAGTTGAAAATGACGTTGGCGACGCAGAATAATTAGAGTGAGGCGAAAGAGGCGGAGTGGGTGGAATATAACTGTGAGCAGCGGGATGGGATGTCGGACTTGAGTAAGAGGAGACATGTGATGACTCCGAATACGATCTTGATCGTTGGTCAAGGGAAGGACTGGCAGGATGCCACGTCGCTTGTGCCTGACCTGATTGTGTCTGCGAGGGGTGGCTGGGTGGACTCCCAGGATATGCGGTAGACGACCCCTGTTGAGCGGAGGAAAAAGCAGGCCTCGCGACCGGGTTTTGGTTTCGCTCCTGAGCAATGGAGAATTGCGTTTTATGTGGCGGAACGGGTCCCGCAACACCAGCGTGAGGAGCCTCCCCGAATGACCCGACAGGTATTGCCTCGGGTATAGTCATATCCACGACTGGGCCAGACCTCGCATTCGTATAGGGACTGGAGCCGTCAGGCGATCTGGCTGCAACGGTATACAAGAGACGAGGGCCCGTTGGCGACGAAGCTTCAACTTCAGGTGTCGTTGTCGGATAGCCCGAGGGAACAACAGACATTCGCGCGGGCGGAGAATGATAGGAAGATTCGCTTAGAGAAGACTGACGAGAATGTCGTCGATCGACAGCTGGGACGGTCTTGATCAATCCAGCTGTGAGTCTTTCGCTATACAGACTTGAAGCGGGTTGACCGGAGCTGGTGGGGAAAGTCTGATCGGCTGATTTGGGGGCGGGATAATTTGGAGGCGCATTCGACTCATGCTCTATTTGGGGAGTCGCGAGGATAGGGAGAGCAGTTGACGTTTGGGAGCTCAAATAAAGCTGTTGTGCCTTGCTCAGACCTGCGGTACTGGATTTCTCAAGTTTCAGGTCTGCTGGATGGGTCCAATAACTTTGATTTCCCTTTCGATAGTACCTTGAGGATGTAAATGAGCATTGAGATCCTTGATCAAGAGAGTTTATATGTACCATTGTCCTGATCTGTGGAAGAGACGTGTCAGACCCGATTTAACATGCCACACTCGAAGGCTGATAACGTCGCTACTGACTGGTAATCGCAGTGACTTGTCCATCCAGCTGGCAATGGCCTAGGATCCATCTCTTGACTAGTAATGATAGTTTCCCTCAACGTCGTCGAAGGGTGAAGTGAAGTGACTTACTCCAATGGAGTTACCTGAGGCAATTCTTATTCTCACTCGTCCCTGAAAATCTAGAGCCCTTGCGAATCTTTCACACAGCCTCATCGGTCGTTCCAGGATGGGACCTGAGCAAAGCCCCGATACATCGGTCAGACTCGTAACGGTACGCAGGTCTAGGCGGCACGAAACTGACTGCTGTTACTAGAGATGTAATAGCCCCCGCCCCCGCCAGGTCGAAATTTATTTCCAGTTTATGCATGGGACTCGCAGTGACCGTCAAAATATGGGATGGCCACAGCCAGGTTCCGTAGAAGAGTCATTCCAAATGGTGTATTTTTTCGTATAGTAGCGGTAACGTGAGAGTCGTCGGGAAAGCGGTTTGTGTCCGCTCACCGCTCCGAGCAGCGTCTGAAGTCGGACGTCATTGCGTTAACCCTGGCCATCGTGATCTCCCCAGTCTGCGCGCATCGTCATCAAGTCGGCGGTTGATTCCTTATGGATCGCTAGTTTCAATTCTCAGAAAAAAGCTGCTCGCCATCCGTGGCATTATCAACGCG